AGACTGTAAGCTCGCTGAGGGTAGAGACTATGAATCAACTATGCTTTGTCTTTCCCTAAGTTCCCAGTATAGTACTCTCTATATAGTAGATGCTTAATAAATGTTTGTGGAATAGTTTAATTAAATTGCTCTAATTCCCACTTCACTTTGGCTGCACAAAAAGAGGGAACTTTTGATTTCATAGGTATGGGGAACTTCCAGGTGAAGAAATTCCATCTGCTAATGTAGGTTGGTATCTTCTCTGCAACTTTTGATCTTAAGAGAGTTGCCTACTTGATGAAAAATGCTATCCACCTCCAGAGAAAGAATTGGTGGAGTCTGAATGCAATCAAAACAGACTATTTTTCACTTTTTTGTGTTTCTTTTTTCCTTTTTGTCTGTGTCTTCTTTCACAACATGGCTAATATGGAAATATGTTTTGCATGATTGCACATTTTAACCTATATGAAATTGCTTGCTTGCCATGTCAGGAAGGGAGGGAGAAAATTTGGAACTCAAAATTTTAAAAAATGAATGTTAAAAATTATCTTTACATGTAATTGGGAAAAATAAATATTATTGAGAGGGAGAAGAGAGAGAGAGAGAGAGAGAGAGAGAGAGAGAGAGAGAGAGAGAGAGAGAGAGAGAGAGAGAGAGAGAGAGTTGTCTGGAAAACTGAAAAGTTTAAGTGACTGACCTGAGCTCTCAAGGGCCATATGTGTCAAAGATGGTACCAGTTCTTTCTTCTCTACGTGATGCTGCCTTTGAGCTGTGTAGACAAAGCTGAATTGATATATTACAGGATATTAAGGGTAGGGGGAGGACCCTTACTAATCAACCTGAACTTTTATGTTGGGACATCAACTGATGCTTTGGGAATCATTTATAATACTTGAGTCCATGGGGAGTAATTTTTTTGTATGTTTAAGGAGAATAAGGAGGGGAGAGAAGACTATATCCTGATTATTTACTGTCCTTTAATGAACAATTTGTTTTAATGAGCTTTTTTGATTCTCGCCTAAAAACTCAATCCTGACTTGTCAGGACTGCCTATCCCCAGGGCCTTCGCTAGATATGTAGATGAGCCCTTTTTAATCTCTGTGATTTTTTTCCCCCTTCTTTTATTCCTTACTGGGTCCTTGCCTCTGGTGACTTGACTTATCTGGTAAATAACTTCAGGCATAGTGTTCCAGTTGAAGGATTTCCTGTCTGATCTGAAAGACAGTGGATATTTTAATGTTATCACTTTATTGCAAAATGGTACAAGACTCTTTGTCAGGCGACAGTGGCAAATCAACCCAGTCATTCATCACAAGACCAGAGCAAAAACCCTGTTGTAAAAAACAAACAAACAAAAAACCCCAAAACCCGACAAAAAACTCCTTCCCTCATAAAACCACAAAAGCAATGTCAACATTATTCTGAGGAGAGGGCTCGCTGACTTTTTTCCTAAGGCCAAATGGTGGGCAAATGGTCTATAGTAAATTTCCTGGACTTTCCTGTCCCCCTAAGCCTTAGCTGCTATTTTAGGGAAAGGTGAACAAAGATGAATAGAGGACAAAGGGGCAGAGATCTTTGTCATTATTCAAAGGCTATTAGTGTGACTTAAGAATAATGTGTTATTTTTCCTTGTATGTATCCTGAACCAAGTAATGCCCTCTCTTGGGAACCACAATTAGTCAGTGTTTAGTTTGCCCATCTGTAAAATGATCATAGTATCATAAGTTTAGAGCTATAATACACCATAATGATCACCTAGTCTGACCCCCGAATTTTACAAATGAAGAAGTTGAGCAACAGAGGTGAAATGATTTGTCCAGGGTTGTACAGTTAGTATGTGCGAGAGGCAAGATTTGAATCCAGATCTTCTTGACTCCAAGTCCAATACTCTGTCCCCCAAACCTAGTAATGTTTTTATTATCTGCCTCACAGGTGAGGAAAGAGCTTTGTAAACCTTCAAGCTTATATAGAAACATGAGCTGCTGTTTGTAGTAGAATCAGCAGCAGCAATAGTAGAGATAGTAATAATAGTAGTAGTCAGTAGTAATAGCATTCATACAGTGCTTTAAGGTTTGCAAAGTGCTTCTCTTATGTTATCTCATTTGATCCTCAGAATAATTTTAGGAAGGAGGACTATTATTATTCCCATTTTACAAATGAAGAAATTGAGGCATAGGGTAGTTAAATGACTTTTCCAGGGCTACATGGCTAGTATCTGAGGCTGGATTTGAACTCAGGTCTTCCTGACTTCAAGTCCAGTGTTCTAGCCATTGCACTACCTAGCAGAATCAGAATTCTTTCTTACAGATTGGGTTATCTGGAGAAAATTCTTTGGATCCAAGTACTCTAACCTTCAAGAGAAGAGTAGAGCTTTGATGATCCATCATGTTGGGGTTAGGAGAGGAATTGGAAGTCATTTCCAGGAAGGGCAGAAACCTGCCTGGCAGGTGTTATATAGGTACAGACAGGGTCCTAATTAGGGCAAGGAATAGAAGCTTTGCCCCAGTTTAGAGTTCTACCAAAGTTTAAAATGCTGTCCTAGAAACATATAAGCTTAGCACCTAGTTAGCAAGAAAAATGAGTTAAAATAGGAAGCTAACACTCATCTGTGAGCCACTGCATTAAGTAATTCCCTTTCTCACTCAATTACATTTATCTTAATTATTTCATGTACTATTTTCCACATCATGAATTACAAAATTGATTCCAGGAACTGTTTTGCGCTTCTTGACCTGGGAACCAGTCCTATTAATTATGGCTATGGGCACAGATATAAAAGAGACATCCCAGTGATGAAGCAGCAAAGGGTGAAAGGACCATTCCTGGGTGAGGCTAGGAGAAGTGAGTGTGGAGAATCAAGATGGAGCCTAGGAAGTTTAGCTAGATTAGGTTTAGGTCAAGAAGTGTGGATCTCAGCTGTTAATAGAGAGATTTCTTTTATGCTCTGTATCTTATTGTGATGATGCTGAATTAATAGCCTTCTTTTTCCTTGTGAATACATAGCTTCAGCAACAGGAACATTCATTCCCTTAACCAACACAGACCATGACCCCTCCGTTTCTTACAAGGGCAGTGTCTGAGGCCAATACCTTCTAGTCCAGTTCTTTTTTGAGCTCAGCCTGGCATGCTCCTCAAAGGACAGAGACGTAGCCCACTCCTACATGTGTCCTGCAGGTTGTTCCAGCATGCTGAGATCTTTTAGAATTTGTATTCTGTTGGCATGGGCATTGGAAGAGAGCTCATTAATAAGTCCCAGCAAAAGTGCCTGTGTGGCCTATAATTCATGACAAAGAATAAGAATGGAAACAGGAAGCAGATGCCACACTTTGGGCACCCAGGCAAAGTGGAAGCAGGGAGACGAAGGAGTACTAGGACTTTAACTTAGGAAGACCTGAGTTCAAATCCTGCCTCACACACTTACCAACTTTGACCCCTTGGGCAAGCCACTTAACATTCTCAGTTTCCTCATTTATAAAATGGGGACAGTGGTGTAGTAGCCAGAGCACTAGGCTTTGAGTCAGGAAGACCTGAGTTCAGATCCAGCTCAGAAACATTGCATGTATGACCCTGGGCAAGCCATTTAATCTTTGTTTGCCTCAGTTTCCCTATCTGTAAAATGTGGATAGTAATAGCACCTGCCTTCTAGGGTTGTTGTGAGGATCAAATGAAATAATAATTGTAAAGCACTTAATACAGTGCCTGGCACATAGTAGGTGCTTTATAAATGCTTGTTCTATTCCCTACCACACAGGGTGATAAGGACCATTGAAATACTATGTGCAAAGTACTTTGCAAATGTTAAATGTTTTATATGTTGTCTATTATTGTTATAAAGCAAGGTGTATGCAGAATATTGGACTGGATGTATTACTCAAGAGTCAACTGAGACTGATGGTTTCGTTGTCCTGAGCTAGTAGCTAAGATGCATGTAGTCCAGAGAGAGGAAAACAGGGATTGAGGCAGCAGTTGCCTGTGCTGGGGAAATCCATATCCTTCCCTCATGAGTTTGTTGGATTCATTCTCAATGACCAACACAAAGACGCTTTAAATAGCACCCTTTATTATAATCCGTAAGTGATTATATAATCAGAACAGCAGTGATTAAGAGGCACCATCCAATAGCAAGAGAGCACCAGTTCAAGTGGATCCCTTGGTTACCAAGCACTGATGTCCATGCTTAGCTGTATGGTGGAGGGGGCTGAGAAAGGGCACAGGTGACCTGTCATGGAGGAGCTGACAGTCTAGACAAGGAGGACAAGGCTCCTAGCATGGGAAGTTAAGTTTCAATACAAGGCCATTGTTGCAAATGGGATGCTGACAGTATTCTTCCTTATCAGGTCTTAAGTGAACAAGCTTCTTGAAAATGGTATTTCCCACATGTGTGTATATGTATGTATGCACACACGTATATATACATACAAGTACATAATATGTATATATAGAGAGACAGACAGACAGATGGATAGACAGATGGACAGATTGAATGAACTGTCTGTGTAGGGGTTTTGAAAAAGTAGTCTTCTTAGGATGGTAGACCTTGGTCTGTATAGCACAAAGTAAAGGCAAAAGGTGGACAGTCATCCGCTAACCTGTGCCTATGGAGACAACTCATGTCATTTAAGACCAAAAGTGCATCCAACATGGCTCTGATTAATTTTGCCCAGAGGGGTGACGTAGCATCTCACATCATGCCTCCGATAAAAGCTGCCTGGGTCACTTAACCTGTGAGGTAGGAATCTATCCTGGTCTCGTATCTATACTATGAGGAGTCTATACTATGGACACTTCCTCCTCCACCCCCAGCCTGGCTACCTGACCAGACAATGTCCCTGGAAGTGGGATGGATGCTCCATTTGGCTCCTCTGTCTCTACAGGCCCCAGATTCCCAGATACTATCCCTAGACATGGGATGCATGGTCTACTTGGCTCAGCTGCTCCCCAATGTCCTACCACACCCTGCACTTGGTACTTAATCCCTGTATTCTTGACTTTGGGTCTCAGGGCAGTCGGAACAAGGGCAGCTAGTCATCAGCAGGTTTAATCAGGTGGCCGTTGAAGGTGATGTAGATGTCCGATTCCTCACTGTAGATGGCGTTCTCTCGTTCTCGCTTGAACATCCGCACCCAGACCTCGTCTCCCTCCTCCAGGTCCAGCATGAGGCTCTGGCTCTGCATGATGCTCCGGTCGCTGGGCTGTGTGTACAGGATGGCTGCCTCCTGGTCGTTCCTCATCAGGTGCAGGTAAGTCTCCTTGAAGTTCCAGGTGTGCACATTTAGGTTGAAGAAGTAGACGCCGGCCACATAGCAGGAAAACCGCCCCGTGAACATGTTAAAATGCTTGTAGAGATTCACAAATTCCGTGTCAAATGTGACATCTTGGAAGTAGTCATTACTGTGGAGGACTTTTTTCCGGCCCACTGAGAAGGCTTCATAGACGTGCTTGCAGGAATTTCCCGGCAGGCCGATTTGTCCTTTCTGGCCTTTCCGTCCTCTGTACCCTCTTTGGCCAGGTATCCCCTCCTTCCCACTCACTCCAGATTGTCCTTTTTCTCCTGATTCACCTTTCTCTCCTGCAGTCCAAATAAAACATAGGATGTCAGAGCTAAAAGGGACCTTAGAGATTACCCAGTCCAAGCCTTTTATTTTACAGTCAGGGAAGTGGAGGCTTAGAAAGATTAAGTGACTTGTTCTAACTCACAGAGATAGAAAATGACAGAGGTGTCCAGGATTAGGACACACATATGTCATCTAACTCTAGATCCAGGGCTCTTTCCACTGTCCCTCATTTTTATAGAGGAATAAGCAAATCTAGAAAGGGGAAGGACCAGTTTAAGATGCCACCATGAATTGTGGTAAGGACTAGATTAGAACTTTCTCTCTCTCCTTTCCCAATTTAAGGTTCTTACCACCTTTCATTCTTCCCTCACTGTTCCCCAGCACTTCTCTTCCTTTCTAGAATCTTCTCTCAGGAAAGATCTACAACAATGCCTACCTGCCTATGCTTCTGGACTTGGAGGGCTTTGATTGCCCTATACTGGTGAATAATAATAAAAATGATCATCATAATGGAGCACATTGCATTGTACTTTGAGGTTTACAAAGATCTTTTCTCATAATCTTATGAAATAGGTAGTACAATTATCATTAGCTCTATTTAATAGGTAAGGAAACTGAGGCAGCTAGAAATTAAGTGACTTGCCTAAGTTCACACACATAGTGTATTACAGAGCTAGGGCTCCAACTCAGGTATCCTGACACCCAGTCTGGTGCTCCTGGCCTAGCAGTCTTTCCATTACACCACACTAGATTTTTGAGGCAAGTTATTAAAATTATATTTTCTTTAAAAAAAACCACAAAAGATCACTCCTTAAGTTTATTTGGTCTGAGTAATGAAAGAGTTAAATTCTGGGGGTTTTCTGTTGATGTAAGTAATCCAGGTTCTCCCTTCTTACTGGGTGAGGTCTTTGGGCTCCCTCCTTTTTGGGATGCAGTATGGGTAGCATAAACTAACCTTTAAGAATGGTGATGTCAATGGTGGGTTGCAGCCGGGGCATCACCCATGAGGGATAGTTACTCATCCTACTGGAAGGGGCAGGGACAGCAGCAGGGGGTCCCGTAGGGCTGCAGCATCTGACACACTTCTGGGCACTCTGTTTGGATTGCCCCAGGTCTGGCCAGGCCTCAGCGTGTAGCACCAAAATCAATAGCATGAAGAGGAAGAACCCCATCTCAGCTCCTGAAATGGAAGCATGAGTGTCACCAAACCAGGCAATAAATTTGGAGGGCCCTCAATGCTTTATCAGAAGCTGGTTTGCCCCTCAGATAGCCTCAGAGAGAGTATGTGTGCATGTGTGGAATCATTAACTGATCTATCAAAACCCATTTTCTATTTTTCCATCCTATATCGACTCTGTAGAGGGTACAAAGATGTACAACACAGTCCCTGCCTGCAAGGTGATTACAGTCTGCTGGGGAAACATAGGCAGAGCACACTACTTGATGGGCAGAGATTTTCCCCTCACTACGTGTCTTTAAGCAAGTACCAGAAGATCCCTTTTCTGGTGAGGATTCTTGTGTGGGGAAGTCGAGGTATCTGTTAGACTAGGTGGTCACTGAGGTGCCTCTCAGCTCTGAGATTCTGTGATCCACATCACAAGGTATATCAAAGCAAAGAATCCAAAGGGGCGTTGTGGACTTGCCCTATCTCACCTTGGTTTCCTCATGAATAAAACAAAGGGATTGTACAAAGTGGTCAATAAGGTCATTTCTGGTTCTGACCCTTGATCCTGGTAAATTCTGTGGGACATCAGAGGAGGGAGAGGTCAACTTATCCATCTTTCCCCCTTTTCTTCCATACTTAAGATCATATATATATATATATATATATATATAGAGAGAGAGAGAGAGAGAGAGAGAGAGAGAGAGAGAGAGAGAGAGAGAAAGAGAGAGAGAGAGAGAGAGAGAGCTAGAAGGCACCTCAGAGGCCACGTAAGCCAACATCTTTATTTTACATGTGGGGAAACTGAGGGCAAGGAAGGAGTAGTGGCTTTCCTAAGGTCACCCAGCTGGTCTGCGTCATCAGCAGGATTCTCAAGTTCCTACTCTGGCCCAGACCCTCATAATCTCTTGTATGGGATGAACACAGATTATCAAGTTATCCTTATTGCAAGTTATGATTAATAACGGTCATGGAAATTAAGTGAACTAGAGCCACAACTAGAGAAGGGCAGCCTGGTGTAGCGGTTAGAGAGCTGACCTCAGAGTCAGAAGACCTGGGTTCAAGTTTTACCTCTTTATACACCTTCTATGGGGCACAGTGCATTGAGCCCAGAAGATAACTTTTTTTAGAACTAAACTATGCTTTTAAGGAACTCCTAGAGGGGAAATTCCCTCTACCAGTGCAGACAGGCATTTGATTTGTAATTTATAATTTTACAGCATTTCCTGGGGGCATCAGGAATTGAATTCAGGTATTCTTCACTTTAAGGAGAACTCTTTACCTGTAACACTGGACTTCTCATTGATAGGAGTTCAATGAGTGTTTGCTGAATTGCAGAAATTATGGATCATATGGGGGGGTGGAGAAATCAGTTGTTAGAGGGCCTTGGAATTTAGACAATGGAGTTGGGATATGAGAGATGATCAGGAGCCACTTGTAGATTAAGGAAATGACTGAATCCCTAGCCAGACCTATTGCTTCTCACAACAAATCTAAATACTATTGCCTTCACTCTCTAGGTTGGCCAGAACCAAATGGCATGGAGTTTGGAGATTATAGGAGTAACCTTCTTCCCTGTGCCTGCATAATTGACTCCTGTTTCCTAAAGGGTTTAGCATCCCAGTCTTCTGTACATCTGAAAAGCAATGAATAGTTTTTATTGTAAAGATCTTATTTTCTTTTTCTTTCTTTCTTTCTTTCTTTCTTCCTTCCTTCTTTCTTCCTTCCTTCTTTTTTTCTTTCTTTCTTCTCATTTTATAAACTTCTACAATCAGAGCTAACTAAGCTTGTGTATAAATCATATATGGTACCAGGTTACAATAATCTTATCAAAAAAAAATTAAGAGGATAAAATAATCACTTTCTTAGACAGAATCTCTAGTTTTTGGGAGATATCACTATTATTTTCAAAAGGATCTTTTCCCAGTCCTCACTGCCCTATATTCACTTCCAATAAATGGTTGGAAGAAGAGTGTGATTATTATGTGTTTATTATATAGTCCTCCTTGGAGGTTCCTTTGTCTTGCCTTGGGAGCTCAGAAAAAAGCATTATTGAATGTTCAACATGAGGAATTGATATAACTCCTAGGTCTGGGAATGAAATGAGAGCTTACCTTGCATTGAGCCACTCTCTTGGGTGCCTTTAAGAGATTAATTCTGTATACCATGTGGCTTAGCTGCCAGCAGTGGGAATGTGGTTTCCTCAGTTGGGACTCATTTATTTCAGTATGATTTATGATTACTGCTAATAGCAACAATAACAAGGATGATGATGATAACAGTCTCTTATACTTGAACTGCTAAAATGCTTTCATGCCTCTTTCTTCATTTGAAATTTACAACAATACTGTTAGACTATAGGACAGATGTTAGTTTTTAGCACCACTTTATAGACAAATAATCTTAGGCTTGAAGAAGGAAGTGAATTGTCCACAGTTAGGTGGCTGCTAAGTGGCAGATCCAGACCTAGAGCCATAACTAGCAATTTTTGCATCTGCGGCAAGCACTAGATATGTTTGGGGGTGATAGGCTTGGCTAAACTGGGGTGTAACCTCCTTTGGGGAAGAAAGCGTGGAAAATAATATCTTGAGATTTCTATGCTGCTGAAGGATCAGCAACTCTGGAGTAGGCAGGAGGAGCCAGGGGGTTCTGGAATAACCATGGAGGGGAAGAAATGTGCTTCTTGGCAATAGCTGGTGTCCTTTAAATTTTCTGCCCTAGAGTGAAACCTTGATCTCCCTACCCTAGTTACAGGCTCTTGTCAGAAATAAGCCTGCAGAAGCACCGGCCCTGAAGTCAGAAGGACCTGAGTTCAAATCCGGTCTCAGACACTTACTAGATGTGTGACCCTGGGCAAGTCACTTAACCCCAACTGCCTCACCAAAAAACAAAAACAAAAACAAAAACAAACAACAACAAAAACAAAAACAAACAAACAAAAAAGAGATAAGCCTGCAGAATAACATATTCTTAGAAGGTCAGAACTGGAAGGAATAACTCCCCATCCAATCTGGCACCATCACTTAGGAAACTGAGGCAAGCCCCTCACTTAGGGGGCTAAGTGACTTGCCTAAGGTCACACAGAAAATAAACCCAGGTCTTTTCCCACTCCCATTAGGTTACTTGTCTGAAAAATAATCATTCACACATTTCCAAGTCTTCATAATTTAGTAAGATTTTCCACATCCTTATCTGATTAGTGCAGTATAGCTAAGAATGATTTGGAGTCAAAGGGCTGGAGCTCTTCTACTTAACACCTATGTCTCCTTGGCTAAATCATTTAACCCATCATGATGGGCCTAAGTTTTTCAGCTGTAAAATAAAAAGATTGGACCAGATGACCTTTCCGTTTCTTCTTGGTATAGGTCTGCGGTCCCGAAGGAACATAGTAGAATGACTGGACTCATGATCTTACTTTAGATAGCTGACAAACATCTGTCTTCGGTTACCCATTGAAAGAATGGGGAGGGCTCAGTGAAGTCCATCACTGTTACTAGAAACCCCAAGAGTGGAGTATGGATTCTTGTCTCACCCACTGTGGTTGTTCTACCCACTACCTAACCTTCATATGTGTGTTTGAGTCAGGGGATGGATGGGGAGAAAGCAAGCCCATAGGCTGTGAATCTACTTTTGGTAAGTAACTTGAGAATCAGGCATTATCAGAGAAATCAGTGCTATTTTTGCACAGCCCCAAATATAATGGAAATTTGGAAGGCATAGAAACAGATTTGTTTTAGTATAGACCCCAAAGTTACAATGCCCAAGACAGCTCTGCATTTTTGGTATTCCTTCTCAGTAGCAAATTCTGTCTTCAAGGCTAGGAGTAGGATAGCTGTCTGGAGGCCTGGGGGAGCCCTCCCCTGCCTGGCTGCTCTTTCTAAAGGAAGAGCAGGAATAGCTGTGGCCTGCAACCCTGGATACTCTGTTCTAAGGCCCAGTCTCCTGGGGCTATGCCCAGCCCAGGCTTTGGTCAAATATTTTTCTGTCTTAGGAGCACCACTTGACTTTGGCTGGGTCAGACAAGGGCACAATTCATTCCTGCTCAGGAAAGGATCCACACCGGAGATTTAAAACTCATCAATCTGTCTGCTCCAACTGAGCCAGGCCTTCTAAATGGGTGGAAATGTCCTTAACACTTTCCTGACCAATTCAAGGGAAAGTAGGGAATGACCTTTGACAGTCCAATTAAAACTGTTAACATCATAGAATACTAGGACTAGACGAGGCCTGCGAGATAATTTAATCTAATCTATTAGTTTTAAAGATAAAGAAACCTACTTAAAGTTGCCCATGTGTTTGAATCTGGATAGCATGCCCCCTTTCTTAGCAGAAGCCTCACTCCCCATAGGTTGATTTGCCTGTTACTGCTCCATCCTCTTCCTCATCTACTCTATTTCCTATGGACTTTTCATCAAGGGCTCAAGCCTTACCTCTGCTACTCATTAGTTGTGTGACCCTGGACAAACTGCAGTTCAGAAGAAGGAAGGCAAGCCTGGAGTAGTTGTCTAGCTACTCAGAAATTCAGGGCTATCCTCACACATTGGCAGAATAGGTAGTTGCCTTCAACTTGAAGGGCATCACTGACAGATTTTCCCATCTTATAATAATTTTGAATATTGTCATGGTGCCTGAAGTTTCAGCATTAGAGATTCGTTTCTATAAGGGAAGGGACTGAGTCTTCAGGTGGCCAAAGTCAAAGGAATGACACACACATCAACCACTAATGTCTCAGAATTTATTAATTTATGAGATTAGCCAGCTGTCTAGCAGAGGGAAAGGTTTCCAAAGACATGGACAAAGAACTGGTAGGTTTTGAAGGACACAGCTATATATGGTAGCTGAATAGGTGGTAGGCCCCTTGAGAACAGGGTCTCATTTGCTTTTGTCTTTGTATCTAGTGCTTGGCACATAATAAGTGTTTTGTGGATTAGTGGATGGGTGCACTGAAAGTGGCATTAGAAATTCAATTAACTTCACAACTTGGCCAATGACCCCAAAGGCCTTCTCCCTCCCACCCC